TTAACTATGAGTGATATACTATTGCATTTATATTTATTATAGAATAAGTGTCTAGTTATATAAGAAAATGTTTCGTTGAAAATAAAATTTTATAATTTTTATTGAAAAATCCCTAAATAATTTGTTTTATTCCTTACTATAGCGGCCACCCGCGACTTCGTCCGCGTTAACTGTAGTTTTTGACAATCCCATGGGTCGTACACTATATGCGCACCAAATTTCATCCAAAACCATTCAGTAGTTTTTGCGTGATTGAATAACAAACATACAAACTTTCTCATTTATAATATTAGTAGGATACTTAATTATAATGTAACTTATTGGATAGTTAGTAGTTAGAATCTATTCAAATATTAAACAAGCACAAACTGTCTTTATCAACTTTTCCATAATCCCTATTATCAAATTGTATCAAAAGTCTGTGTTTACTATTATAAGCACAGTAACTATTACAATAAACTTCATTTAAAATTTAAGGAATTTAAAACCCAAGAATAGGCATCACGTAGAAAATAATTAGATTAAGCCGGGTCACCAGCAAAAGATTTTTGTAAACATTCAACAAAAACATGTACCTACCCAAATCTTTTCTTCTGAAACATGTTTCTCTACACACGCCGTCTACTGGTCACGTGGCTGACATACATAAAATACACAGGGCTGCGTTCAAAAACTATGATCCAGGTGCAAAAAATTACAAATTTCATGAAAGTTTCGTACATTTTATACGACGACCTCCGTGGCCGTGTAGTTTGTACGCCAGGTTTCATGGTGTCGCCTACTCGGGAGGTTTCCGCCGGTTTCGAATCCCGGTACTTACTTTGAGGCTAGCCTTATTGGGTGTGACTGTTGGAAATAATTATTAATTATTTCTTTATTTTATGTCAAAATGAAACGTCAGAGTGAAAAGTTGTACTCGGAGCGTAAGTTTGCAATGAAGTTGTCAAATAATGGCTGATGAAACATTACCCTACCCCTCAACCCGCGCGTGGGAGATTTGTGTCCTACGTTTTTTCCATCGGGCTCGCTAAGCAAAAACTTTGTTGATGCAAAATATGTGTAGTGAAGCAAAGCTTTGTGGAACTGGAAATACTTTTGCCCTGATCACTTTGTGACGCCTTCCGTTTGAAAATAATAGTCTACGCTATAAAAAAATATAAAAGTTTACAACTATGATTTTGGTTCTTACATCCATATATAGTCCAACTAATTCTATTAATACGGTAGTTCTACTGATAAAGCAGAACGGAAAAAAATCCGTTTAGTTCTACAATCTACTTCAATAGAGCTATAATGCAGTCACACGGTAAGTTATCTTGCCTACTGTTACTGTGTTATGGACATGGAGCAAATGGATTATTAGTAAAATTTTTGTCAGTGTTACATTAACTATTTCTTTAAAAACGCTTTGTATTTAGTTAAGTGTTTTGACTGTATTTTAAATTTTATTTGTTAATAGAACGCCAGGTTTTTTACATTGCTGGCGCATCTTCATTATATGTATATTATCATCAGCCTATTAATGTCCCCATTGCAAGGGCACAGGCTTTCCTATGGATGCAATAGGGAGACTAGATGTGACCAAAGCGGTTTCACTAACGACTGCAGATGAAGCCGGGACCAACAACGGCTTGACATGCCTTCCGAAGCACGGAGGAGCTCGAGATAATAAGTTTTTACTTACCCGTCCAATGACTGACCATTGCGAAATCAAAGGCCGAATGCGCTACGTCCAGTTAAATTTATAGTCAAATTGTTTTTTGTGTAATTTTTAGTCAAAATTTTCTATGAAATCACATTTCCATCTGTCTGCCGCGTTATTTTAAATTGTTTAAACTATTCCAATTCGATATTGGTTCGTGCTAACGATTCATTACCGTACCCTTAGCACGCACGAACCAATATCGAATTCGTAACGTTTGCTAGTCCGAAATGTCATTGTCAGATGTTTACTGATTTTTAGTTCTCGTTATGGCGCTGCTGTTCAAGTTTCCATATAAAATTTAACAATGACATTTCGCACTCGCAAACTATTCGAATTCGATAATTGTTCGTGCTAGGGATACTGTATGGAAGTTTCAAATCTCATGTTACCCGATGGAGGTGCCCCGTCTTACCCGAACTATGGAGCAAGATATCTCTTTTCATACTTTTCGTAATATTACGACTGGTTTTTTTGTTTGATCTTCCTAATTAGCTGCTATTTGATAGTCTGATTACCATGAATAACTAAAATTAGTGTTGCCCAAATTCAGTCTTGGTCTTGCAGTCTTGGTCTTGTTCTTGCGTTTTTGCAAGACCAAGACCAAGAACAAGACCGCGTATTTTTAGCAAGACCAAGACCAAGACTGACCGTGCAAGACTTGAGCAAGAACAAGACTAATCCGGCAAGATTCTTGCGTCTTGCAGCTAGGACTTAGCGCTATTTCACGGAGTAGTTAGGTATAACAATTCGGTGTATAGGTACGCTTAGGAATTCTATGAGACGCAAAAAACTGTATCAAAGAATATGAAAAACTGGACCTATGCGCATTACGACCAATACCATAAACATACAATATAGCGAATAAAAAAAATATCCATTAAAATCAAACAGAGTGCATGCATAGTTTTGTTTTAACCATGCATCGGCACTTTGATAATGCGGCATCAAAGGTTTTGTACTGACTTCTCAAAGAAATTTACCGCTTTTCGGAAGTGCATGGTGATGATACACGCGCCAGCGGCTTCTATTGAAATCACATACAACAATCGTTTCCGCCGTGCCGAAATCACAACATTTGACACTATTTGGTTGCCGCCACAGGGCCTAGGTATACTCATGCAAAATTCTAATTTCGTGTCGTGCCGTCCCACTCACGCTAATACTATTTAATATATGAGCGAGCGAGACGGTACGACACGAACTTCGATTTTCGAATTTTAGAGTACAGGTGTTCCAAAGAATAAATAAGTTTCAGAGTGCTTAGAATGGAAACGAATACATTATACTGATCACGCAAGTAGTATTATGATTAGATAATGGTAAGGATAGGTAGTAGATGTCATAATAATTTATTCCAGTAAGTATATATTAAAGTATTGATTATATGGGTTTAAACTAATTACTTAGGTACTATTATTGTACATTCAGTCAAAATATTTCTTAAATTTCTTAAGATTTTACAAGAAAAAATAGCAAAAATGTGGTCAAATATCACCCGTTTGATAAATATTGTAGCCACTTTTAAATATACTTGAAACGGGTAAAAAAAAACTACAAAACTGATAAAATAATATAAAAAGCATTCAAATGCGTTTTTCTAAGATCTAAAGTAAACTTTAATAAATAGCAATAGTCTAATAGGTAATTGCAAGACTTGCAAGACTCTTGCTGCAAGACCAAGACCAAGACTGGGAGCGCAAGACCTAGACCAAGACCAGATGTATTGGCGCAAGACCAAGACCAAGACTGGCTAAGTCTCGTCTTGTTCTTGCATTTGGGCAACACTAACTAAAATGATAACTATGATTTTGTAACTATTCAGTCATTGATTTATTATGTGTTGAACCTTAGCTTCCCCGTACTCAGAATTTTTACATAAGTAAGGTAAACTTAAATGGTATAAAAGCATCATGAGAATTACTTAAACGATCAGAGGTGTTATTTAATATTGCGTTCCAACTTTTAAATACAACAAAGATTGCTAATATAAAGTAGGTTTATTTATTTTGTCATCAGCAATATCCAAAAAATCATAGAAGTCAATAAATCTACTGACCTACTGAATCATCCAAGGCATTCGCAGACTACCTTTAACGGTCCTTGAACCAATCGATTGGCACAAACATTGCACCCGTCCCGTTTACATACTAACTGCGTCTACAATTCTTATTTATTTAAAATGAATAGTTATGTGTTGTATGAGACCGAGATAGATCACAAATTAAATTACGAATATGCGATCTTGCGATCATTAGCGTAAGAGAGTGGATCTTGGTAGGGCGAACAAACTTTCTGGCTTGGTCTTCTTTGTTATCGATTCAAAATTGAAAGCTTCTTTAGATATCTCATCAAAAGGACCATCAGGACAATGCTTGCAATTAGAATTGATCGCTCGGATTTAATAAAACGTTGATTAACATCAACTTATTTTCACGAATGGTAGAAAATGGTAGCCATGAAGAATTTCTTTGCTTTCTTTAAGCATCCTTTGAGTCAAAGAAATCCGTTGTTTTTTTAACGCCAAAACTCGGCTACTGAATCTGCCATTCTTTATCTTCCACCACAAGTTTTTGGAGCAATCTTAAAAACGAGTTATAATTTTACGGTGATTTTAAAGGATATTGCCTGGTTATAAACAGCCACGAGACAAACAAATGTCAGTATATAAGCACAATGACCTGCCTTTAAGTACCTTGTTTCAATCAAAAGATATATAGATAGATATACAAGAAATCTATTCTCGTACGTAAGCCAAGCCACAAGCACAACACGTTAACCTGAATATGGGTTCGGTCCTGTCTTGTTCACAGACTTTCATGAAAGCTTTTCACTAGAAGTTGATGTATTTTCTTTTAATTATTACCTAAGAAGGCATCCGAAAGTAAGGTTAAAGTACCTACTAGTAGTAAGTAATAGTGTCATTATTTTATTAGCACATCTTTATATATTTCACACTCTTCATTGTCTGTTTATAAAGAACTACATAAATAAGCTTACAGGACTTTATAGCACATATTATTGTTTAGTATTTGTAAGTACTTACTTATTTTATTATCCGCGCTTCAAACTTGGTTCTTTTCTAATCCATATTTCTGGTATCTTAATATTAAAAAGAATTTAACTTTTTAGAAGATAGCTTAATTAAAAGGTAATCAAGCGCCACCATCAACTTCTGATGGTATGTAGGTAAGGTACTTAAGATACGATAAGATACGTGGCGTCGAACTTTAAGCTGTTTTCCATAATCTTTATATTTAAAACGATAACAGGCATTATTAGATCCCGTACATAGTGAGAGAGGTCGTGTCGTTAACCGTTACGGTGTGCCCGATTCGAGCCGCGACTGGTTCGCAGGCGCATTGTAAAAGCGGCGGCGGCGGGAGCGGCGCGCAGTGTCAGTGGTGAGAGCTCTACGCGCGCACGCACCACACCATGCTCCTACTGTTCCTGGCGTTGTGCGCCGCTGCCAACGGCGCGCCCGCCACCTACGACCAGCGCCAGGACGGCGACTTCAACGTACGAGCCGACGTACAAAATGTCGTCCTCCTAGTTGCACTCCCGCAGAAAATGCCGAGTATACCGTCCAGCATCCTCGACGGATTCTTCAAGAGCGACAAACCAGATTCCGACATCCAAGAAAGAGCCGATGTGCAAGTGATGGAAGCGTTCGTGGAGCCGAGCACGCCGTACAAAGTGGAGATCGGCTCGAGCGACCGCTATGCCGACGGAGACGGTCGCGCCGTCGAGGTGGTCATCGCCGGCAGACGACGCCAAAGTCCCGAAATAGCAGCAGACACTGATGAGTTGAAACTGTTGGGTGCTACTGAGCAGTGCGGACCGGATAGCGAGCGGGATCCCGTGACATTGACGTGCCGCGGTCGGTCTGCCCCGGAGCCGCAACCGGAAACGGACGCCACCGCTCAACCAGCTCAACCACCCAAAATCGTGCTCGACATCGCGTAATCGACTGATCTCCATGTTCGTGTGTTGTTAATTTATTCGCATATTGTGTCTATGCCATTTTAATTTATTACTTTTGTAAATTATTTATTAAATAAGGTTAAACTTTTATTTTCACTGTGTTCGTCATTAAAACCCATAACCTATTTTTTTATTTTTAAATTTACTGTTCAACAAAATAAACCTTATCAACTAAGAAATATTAATCAAGTTCTAGTAGAACTATCTCTCTATCAAACGTTTCCACCTCAGTTCATACGACATTGTAATTGCATTGGTACAGTGCATACCAATTTCCATGAAGCAAAAATATTGAGAACCTCCTCATTTTTAAAGTCATTTAAAAATACATAGATAATTATTGCCGGTTGTTTATACAACATAGCTGCAGCACAATGTCTTGTAAAGTGTTTTTAAGGCTTGCTGCTTCCTCCGCTAACTGCCATAAAAGGATAGAGTAAAACTATACCTACTGCTTTTTTTTTAAATGGCCTGACAAATGACTCCACCCCATATAATAATAATAATAATATATTTATTTCTCCTCACAACATGATGCTATTGTAATAGGTGAATACAAAAATGTTTTTAAGCAGTGCGGAACGCAGAATTCGGAACCTTGACCGCTATATAGACGCTAGACCGCATGCAGTAGAGCCGCCGCCTAAGTGATAGTGGAGTAGAGCGGATGGAAGCTCCGATTTCTCATAACCGACTTTTACTACACCCAGAAAAAGAAAGGGACGGTTCATAATTGTGTCCTGTCCTTTCTCCGTCACTGTATGGATAAATAACATTAACATTATCTAATGCCTATATTACAAATTGAACAGCAGTCTTTCCTTTTTACTCCTTATAGAAAGAGAAGTGCCGGCCGACATGAAACATACTTGAGCAATACGGAGCCGGCATGCGGCAGATCGGTGGGTCACGACCGCAAATATTTAGATTTTCTTAAAATGCGATGCGATGACTGATGGGATGCAACTTAACGATGCAAGATAACTATTCGAAATCTTATCAGCCACTGGTGAATCTGGCTTTTGGTATTGTGTCAAACTGAGAGACATCTCGGGTATTCTCGATAGCCTGCACAGATGAGCGAATTTTGTCCACTGATTTTTTTGACCGCCAAAATAGATCACAACTGCATGGAGTACCTACAAAAAAACTCCTGAACAACCAAGGGCACTGAGAGAGTGAGAGACCAGACAGGATAAAAGTATGCGAGATTCCCCAAAAAAATAGAACTCATCTGACAAGGCGCAGCAACGCACGCAGCGAACTTTAGTCCGTGTTGCGCGCCTCGATCCAGTTTAATAAGATGGACCCAGTATTCCATTCTAAAACATTCATATTTTTTTAAAAATTTCATGTTAATTTACACAACGTAATCTGAGTATATTTACTTCCAAGGAATGCGCTTTTCTAAATTTTCGAATGTTCGCACATCGTGTGCATTGAGTCCGTGACAAGACCTCGGTGGACATTTTCTTAACGATTCAGGGACTATAGTCCTTCACGGACAAAAGTCCCTCGTCTGCGCAGGTTCTAAATAAAAAAACTCCACCATGACAATTGAAAGTCCAACCATTGTATGGTCAATTTAGTGTCAAGCCAATTATTAAAAAATTCCCACAATAACCAGCACATGGTCAGAGTCTCGGTATGAGAAATCTAAACACAATAACGCTAATAACTTAGCACACGATTACCCACTTTGAAACCAGGGATGAGGGTTGAAAATGAAACACAATAATATTTGATCACAAAGCCTGTATGTACTTCTTAAAAATATATAAGTAGGTAAATAAAAATCCTCTTTTACGCAGGTATCAATAGGAATAGGTCTTTCGTAATTTTCTCTTGGAAAATATTCAATTCAAAATTCACGTTATTTTTTTGAAACTGAGTGAGAGAGAAACAAACATTCAAACATATTTTTTTATAATATGAGTTTTATAATCTTTAAATGCATTCTTACATTACTATCACTTTATAAGTAACATAAGTTCAGAACTTTACATAACATACCTAATGAATGAATTGTTGAGAAATAATATCAATTGGGAAAAACATTTTTGTTTCACATAAATCAAAACTATATATACCTAGAGACCGATAAGAGTATATTATTTTTATAATATCGATTAATATCATAATGGCCGCCACTCGGGAGACGTCAATAAATATATTAGTTTTATAAAAATCAATGCTATCTGTCACTACTGTTTTACGAGAAACGTTAAATCTATATAACGTGAAAGTATATAAGGTGAAAGATTCATTTGGAAGACAATTTTGTGCACAAACCAACGACTTCAATATAATATAGAACACGAACTGCGCTAAAAAGTGGTTCCACGCAAACTGAGATCAAGTTAGCGGGGCGAAAAAAGTGCGATCAACACGCCTATAAGTCTGTCACCGCGGTCAGTGACGGACACTCGCGTCATTTATGATGAGCGAAGTCCAAGAAAAAAAAGTTTTTTAAAGGATAGAAATTACTGTGAGCTTAAGTGGTGCAAAAAACTGAAAGAAGTGAGTAAAAAGCAAACAAGTATAACTTATCACAGGCAAGAAATATAATTTCTTAGTTTGTTCTCGTGTCAATAACCTCTAGAAAAATATTGTTATCAATTATCCTCGCCGCTCGTAATAGTCTGTCTAGTACACACTAGTTCAATTGGGATTTACGTTTCTAACATGATTTTACCCAATCAATGTGTATCAATGTGATTAATTTGCAGATAATAGGCTAGTTGACACTTTTTGAAAATTTGTTTTAAATGGTTAATAATTGTTCTATTACACCGAAAAAAAATGTATTGTATTTTTTTGACCTAGAAAGCTACAAAACTTTAATTTTGAAATAGACTTTTCATGGACATACAAAAACGCTGTCGGCCATTTTAGTCTATAGATTACACCAGTCAACACGATTTTTGAGTCCGAGTTCTTTGTACCAGTTTTTGATTTCTTATACCTAATTAATGTTAGAAACAATATTTTTATTTAAAAAAGTTTGCTTTTGTAGCTATCAGAATGCAATTTTAAATTTCATGGAAAATTGCAAACTTTTTTGTTTAAGTTGTATATAACAAGAAAATAATCATTAATATATTTATTTAAAACTCTTTTATTTACTTCAGACAACTAAACAGAGTCTATAAATACAAAAAATATATTGATTTTGTTTTAAAATTTGATATTTTTAGCATATTTTATAATTTTTAGTCTGAAAATTTTCTGAAGTAAACAAAATTCCATGGAAATTTCGTATACCCTCATGTGACGCCTATATTTTATCCTGATTTCGAATAGAAAGTTAAAGTAAGCTTCATATGCTTAATTATGCCTTTTACTATTGGATAAACAACATTTTTTGACCCTAAATTTAATAAAATCTCCGGAAATAAATCAAACAGAGTCCACGTAGTTTTTACTCATTTTGGAAGACATTTTACCGCTCAAGACTCTCAAAATACATCGTTTCCCTTCAATAAAGAATTTTTTCATGCAACTGAGGCATAATTTAAAATAGGGTCCATACTGAATAAAAGTATATCATACTAAATATTATAATTCTTTTTCTGACACTCTGAATGTGCTGCTGGTAGTGAAGTAAACAAAAATAACTTGGAAATTTTGTATATCGTCTATTTGACTGAAGTCAAATAGGAAGTTAAAATTAAGCTTCATATGTTTTATTAAGTCTTTAACTACAGGTTAAACCATTGTTATGACTCTAAATTTATAAAAAATCTCCGCAAATAAAGCAAACAGGGTCCACGTAGTTTCACTCATTTTGGAAGGCATTTACCGCTCTAGGCATTTACAAAATACATCGTTCCTCTAAAAGATGTGTACATGCACTGAGTGCTTGCTCTACTGCTTCCTATTCCATACCCAATATCCTTCTGCACTCCTTTCTTTTGCTTATTAAAAGCGGTAGATCCTCAACCTTTTACAAAAGTCATACATATTTATTTATCATTGTATAAAGTACAAAAGCAAACTTTTAAAATAAAAATGAGGGTTCTGGTTATTTTCCGATATAAACAATTAGACAATAGTCATTAAATAACAGACTCAAAAAAAATTTTTCATTTTGTTCACTTGTGTTATCTATGCTATGACGTCAACAAAATTGTAAACAAATATTTGGAAGCAAGTAGGAAATAACCTGAATCTGAATTTATATTATAAAACCATGATTTCTAATAGATTTCATGATAAATATAGTAATTATCATGATTGTATTATACGAGACTGTAGAACACATCATTAAAAAAGTGTGGTTTAAATTGCCTAGAGAAATACACATACCTACACATGAACACATGTTTTAAACTTGCTAAATTCTGTAAATTTTATCGTCTGAAAGTAATTTCTTTTAGCAAGGATATCTTTAATGTAAGTACTCGTTGAATAATATTTAAAGTTTAAAAATACAATTTTTAAGGTTATGAATGTACCAACTATGTCAAAGAATTTTGTCGTTTCTGCTTTCACAAATCCGGCGTCCAGCATTACTTTAGTCAACAAAACCAATAAACGGAAACTTTTCTACAAGATATAAGAGTTTTTAGATATGTTTTAGTCCGACGAAAAATACCACAGTAACCGACAATGACGTTTAGTTGTTTACTAATTTTGTGACATCACAATCATGGTGGACAGCGTCTTTAGTGTTTAAAAAGCATAGACTAAAAAACTATTTTTCAAATTAAATTACTACAGCCATCTTCTAAATGTATGAAGTAAAATCTATGTATTCAGGTTCCTCATACCAAAAATTATAAGAAATAAACATTTGTATAGTGCAATTTGACATGAGTCAACTAGCCTATTGATTCTGCAAAGTATTTTGTTTTATCTGTGTGCGTGGCGCGTAAGTATGAATGTTTAATTAAATGAGTTTGAAACCATGTTTTAGCTGCGTTTGTGAGAGAGTTATGCTTCCATTTTTTTTAATTAGTTAGCATAAACTAAAATGAACATATCACTTGATCGGACTATGAAACATGTACGTGTTACCATAAGAAACATAAAATAATGATAAATGAACAAAAAGTTAGCTCAACTACATAATTATGAATTCTATAAAAATTCCATTTGTGAAAAATAATAATCAGTAAGTAACAGTATAGTCAAAATTAACGTTATTATCATTTAAATCAAAATTAACATAATATCATTTCTAAAAACTAAATACAGTAAACAAAAATTTAAAGACAGTGATAAACAAATAATAACATGAGCACTTAATCGCTTGATAGGCGTTCTTTCAGTTACTTTTACAACCAAAAAATCGAATATTAGAATTTTGCTCAAAACTTAACTACGTACCTATATAAAACGTATTATTTTGCTTAAACTTTTACATGGAAAATACGAACATATTATTATAACTCTGATGTATGAAAGGCACTGAGGAAGACACTAATCGTAATATAATACAAGTCACTATAACTATAAATTGTAAATAATATTCATTGAAAGGTGAAATAGAAAAAAACCCGAACATATAATAAACTTATTTAAGGTGTTGGTGTCGATTCTGCTATGGTTCTCTAAACTTGAAACTGAATTTAACATCAGTCTTTCCTTTTTATTCTGTATACACACAAGGATACACTGTTGTCAAATTTAAATTTAGGTTTAGATAATTATGTCAGAATCGACACCAATATTGGTCTTAATTACTAGTTAAAATAATAATACCTGATTTATTACTTTCTTTCTCATAGTAAAATAACAACCAATATTATTATCTAAAGAAAATTTTACTAGAAAAAAAACCACGCGAATCAGCCAGCAGGCGGGGGGTTCTTCGAATCAGCACCCTGCCTGGTCCGCGTGGAATATTTTCTACTAAAATTTTCTTTAGATTTAAACATCTAGCAGCTAAATGCTTAAAAATATAACAATATTATAATATTGTTATGGTTTCAAACGGGATTCGAACCCACATCTTTCCGAGTAGCATAGAAAGACAAATATATGACACACAGATAACTACGAGACTTAGGCCCGAATTATAGAACGATTTTCAGTGATTGATCTAGTCTATATATAGCACATAGCGATATCCCTTTCTAACTGTACTCAAGTAAAGATCAACATTTAGTTGTCATTGTGTAATACGGGCACTTTTCTCTTGATATAGCTACACCACTCGCGGCCATCATAGACCGCATCCAAAGCACGCATCCATAGCACGCATACATCCATATAAAAAACATAGCTTAGTTAAACCCGTTTCCACCAATGCTATGCTATCAAATTCGTTGGTCCACATAACGAATTTGATTGGTGGATATCAAACGCCTAACATCGGACTGATCTGAGCTGGATTACCGAACGCTTCAGATTTACTCTAGATGTAATAAACAAATGAATCAGACTAAAAAGATTACTCAGACGCAATCAACGAACGCAGTTTCTGTGTGACTTAATGAGCCTTAGTTTAATTTGGCGTTTCTGAGGACGGCTATTTGATATCACAAGCTATTATTACCGCTTGTTATCAAGCTGTGAACCTCCTAGCAATTACGCTAAGTATGTGAGCGTAGAAGCCGTCGCCATACCTCAAACGGTAGAGAGAAGCATCCAAATACCTTTGGACTGCGTTTGCGCACACTAAAGGGGAACTATCCAGACATAAGTCGCGTGATGCACTGCACAATGTTACTGCTTGTCGCCATATTCTTGAAGTCACTGAGTAAAAAAATCAATAAATTTATAAGATAAACTTGATTATTAACACTGTGGTGTGGTGGTTCCACGGCTCAACGGGATTGGGGTATAGGGTCAGGCTAGGCAACTAAGCGAGTGAATTGTTTGTATCGTTTGTATAATCTATATGGCTCGCCTGATGGTAAGCCATAGATAGGTTGTTGGTCATCTTTTTAACATAAAAAAACGAGTGTGCTTATGACCACACGACTGAAGTGAAACTTCTCTAAATCCATCTGTATGTATATATGCGTATACAATATATACATATTTAATTTACTAGCTATAAGTGAAAGAGAGAAAGGAAATGTGTGCGCGCACTGCTTTCTCTTGCTTATATCCCCCACTCAACTCCCGTTCGCCTCGCCCGAACACACTTTTCGTAACGCGTAACGCATTCGCCAGCTTACCCCCCAAGTCAAGCGTGCGTAAAGAAGTTTCACCTCAGAAAGTGTTTATAAAACAAAGAAGTGTCAAACAAAAGTTACTTAAATAGAGATAAAAACAAACACAAGGTTTTTTTCTTTTGTTCAGTTTGGTATCAATTGATAGCATTATATAGTATAAGTAGTATTTCGTTATTTATTCATACTGCGTCGCAGCTTGAGCTAATTTCATAGCTATCATTAACTTGAATCGTACTGAACTGAACTAGCGTAAATAACGTAATAATATTTTGTTTTAATCACACTAATATTATAAAGGCATTAGTTTATGAGTGTGTATGTTTGTTACTTCTTAACGTAAACGGCTGGAGCGATTTTAACAAAATTGGTATATGGTTAGCTGACACCCTGGTGTAACCACCCTTAACACATAGGCTACGTTTTACTGCGGGAAAATATCCCTAAAAACAGCGGGTAACACCGCAGGGCAAAGCTTGTAATAAATATAATACGTATTCATCAAAACAAAGAAATCTATGAGTAATTTATTAACAGGGAGACATAGAGCAGAATTTATAAGTAAGACATTGGTGTCAATTCTAGCATGATTCTCTAAACCTAAACTTAATTTTGACAGCAGTATATCCTTGTCATTCTCTATACAGAATGAAAAGGATAGACTGATGTTAAATTTAGTTTTACGTTTAGAGAATCACGCCAGAATTGGCACCAATGCCAATAGGGAAGATGCATATATAATATTTATGAAAATTTTATGATTAAAATGTTAAAAAAATATAAAAGAAATGCCACTGCAACGTTTTTATTTTACATAATGTTGTTTTTTAACAATTATTACGAATTAAAAATACTTGAAACAGAACGTATTTTAAAACACCAATCAGCGTTTAGTGACGTCACTCCTGTTATGACAACTTCTTTGAGGTTATGGTTGTTAAAGTAAATATTATTTACATTTGCTTTAGCTTATCTTTCATATTTTAACATGGGTGGCAAACAAACATATGGCCCACCTGATGGTAAGCTGCCACCATAGCCTATAGACGCTTGCGATACAAAAAATATCACGCACCATTGCCTACCCTTAACAAAAAAGTATAAGAATAGAGTGGGGAAGGCGACTCTAAAGGTGTCCGTCTAGTAGAAAGAGAAAGAAGATGAGAGACCGCTAGCTATCTCTCTCTCTTATGACGCATGCGCAGTCGTCGGTCCAATAGTTGGTCCAAGCATCACATCGAAATAGTAAGATACTTACGGTTGCCAATGCGCATGCGCGATTAGAGAGAGAAAGCTAGCGGCCTCTCATCTTCTTTCTCTTACTATTAGAGGGACACTTCCACTTGTAGTAGTCTATATCTCCCCTACTCTATTCTTATACCTCTATGACCCTGACCCAATCCCCTGTGCCGTGGAGCCCCAGTGGATTTAAAATAGATATGCTTACAAAAATGTTGCATTTCTATATCGCACTGCTGCGCCAGCTGTTGTATTGTGACGGCTCCCTCCAATATAGGCACATCGTTACCGATCACCAATATGGAGTCCGACTCGGTTGTACTTGATACCACTTTCTGGACCTCTTGGCGTAGTGGCTATATGAATAAACATTACAACACTAATAATAATAAATAAATATTACCAACACTAGGAGGAGATGACTGAGGAGCTTGATGGCGCAGGTGGTTAGCGCGTTCGGCTGCGATCGTTGTAGTTAAGCAACTTTCGCAGTGGTCGGTCATTGGATGGGTGACCAAAAAATTCTATCTCGAGTTCCTCCGTGCTTCGGAAGGCACATTAAGCCGTTGGTCCGGGTTGCACCTGCAGTCGTTAGCACCCACCAATCCGCACTGGGCCCGCGTGGTGGGTCATGACCCAATCTCCCTATTCCATTCATAGGGAAGGCCTGTGCCCCAGCAGTGGGGACATTAAGAGGCTGATGATGATGATGATTTCCAAAACTCACACCAATTAGCCTTGCCCCAAAGTAAGCACTGTAGGCTTGTGTTATGGGATACTAGAGTAACGGACAGAATACATATACAGTAGAACGCCGATTATCCGAATTAATTAGGACCGGGGTCGATTCGGATACACGGACAAAGACTGGTAATAAAGAAAAACGTACTGTCACACATAGAATAAACTTTATTTAGTTTAACAAATACAGTTCTTCAATACTAGATACAATAATAGAGGTACATAGTAGCAAAAAAAACCGCGCGACGCAAAACATGTAATGCCTCTAGCTTTCGACGTAACAGTTGAAATATATTTGGACTCCAGCAAGTTCCAAATTGTTACAACAAAACAAAACAAAAATAACTATAATAGGTTTAAATTTTTTCTATTGCGCTTAGGATCGATTCGGATAATCGGCGTTCTACTGTACAGATACATATATAGTATATCTGTATAGAAATACATATTAAACATCCATGACTGGAATACAAATGCTCGTATTCATCACACAAATTCCCACTATAATATAATGCCCCCCACCGGGGTTCGAACCCGGGAACTCTTCGAGTAGGCGACACCTTGAAACCCGGCGTACAAACCACTCGGCCACGTAGGGCGTCAAAATATTAAACAAATAAAACTAAATTTAAATAAACGCACCCTGGCCACACAAAAGGCGCTGGCAAACACCAGGTGGTGGCGGAAGTGGAAAGACTGCTAATTTTATCACATTACATGAAAACGATATGTGTACTAATTAATTAAATTGAATAGTAATCCAGCTTATGAAAAATCCATATCTATTTATTTCTATAAGCTCGCATTGCAAAAAGGTCCTTCGAGCCGGATTTTGTTTAATATTGTTCTATAAACGTCCTCAGTTTTTGCATAATATTGGACTATAAAATAATAGTGGGTGCCCGCGACTTCGTCTGCGCGGAAATATTGATTTCCCATACAAACTACCACCTACCTTGTCGCTCCTTTATGATGATATAATGATTTCTGGTATAAAACATCCAATGTCCTTTCCTGGGACTCAAATTATCTCCATGCCAAATTATATCTAAATCGGTTCAGCGGTTTAATCTCGAAGAGTTTACAGACAGACAAACAAAACTTTGCATTTATAATATTGGTATGAATAAAAAATGCAAACTTTGCAACCATGTCAGAATGTCAGATATGGGGTCTAGAACAAAATGTATGGGCAGAGCGCCCTTTCGGCGGGCATCAGAAATTTTCGGTCGGAAGATTCCGTATAACGTATATGCATAATATAATATACATATGTATATTTTAATAAATAATTGTATATGCAATCATCAAAATGTCAGATATGTCAGAATTTCAGATAGTACGCAGGGTCTAGAACAAACTTTCCCTTACATTAATAATTATGTTCTAGACCTCGCATACTATCCGCACCAGAGTCCAGAGAGCATCAAAAATTTTCGGACAGAAAATTTCTTATAATATGCGGCGGGGCTAATTTTCAATCCCCTTCCGACGAATTTATTGCGTGAGCTCTGGCACCTGATTATTTTCCTTATTTTTTTTTCATTATTTCCTATCCATAATTCAAAATTTCTATTTTTTTCTCCGTTTAACTTTTTATATACCAATACCTACCTGGTTATCCAAAGACCCGGCCAAATGTTTTTTCATGTCAACCTGAATAACATGTAGTTTGTAGGCAGTTGGAATATGCTGAAAATAAAATATTATAAAAGTTACAGTTGTTTTAGTAATTATAATAAGTATGTTGGAAAATAATAATTATGTATACCTAATAGTTGTATTTTTTGTTTATTTTGTAACTATTTTTTTTATTTGATTAGGTCGGTACTTAAATTTGATTTGATACTGTTTGATAGATATAATAATTATAGCCATTTTATCATGGGGCTGACGTTTAAAACCTCAGATACAACATCATAATGATGATAATTAATATTATTTTTCAAACTGAATTAATTTAAAGACTCACTTTTGTATCAGCTAGCATTAATATCCTATGCACATGGGGCTGATCAGTTGTATCAGGAGAGAGGCGATTCAAGCAATCGGGATACATCTCAGCCAGTACTACGGAATTTCCACCTCCAAGTTTTAGCTTTTTGTGTTCTTCTGTTGCCAAATCATCCAGTTTATCATATATAAAGTTTACTACTTTTGGTTTCACACCTATAAAATTTAATATCAAATTATTAAAGACACCATAGAAAGAGCTGACGAATTGATTTCTTTGTAGTGGCTGCCCACAGCTTTGTCTGCGTTAACTTTAATTTTTTGAGAATCTCTGATTTACCTAACATTTTTCCGAAATCCAGGTAATAAACTATATCTCTCGCTGCGGAGCATGGTAGAGGCCATGCTCCGTGTCGAGAAGGCATGGGAGGCGGCCGAGGGGAAGCAGGGATTAGCCCTGGCCCCTCCCTCCCGCCGAAGTAGAGCGAGCAGGAGAGGACGAGTGCGCGCTCAGGCTGCGCCCGTCCCATGACCCTGCCCGCGGGGATCCCTAGCTGGCCGGTGCGGCGCATTGTGCCGTATATTATAAATGTGAAAGATTGTGTGTTCGTTACTTAATCACGTTACGCTCGGGTCTAAATGCCTAATTAGTCAAAAATCTCCTTAAAAGTTTCATACGAGTTTGTTTTTATTCAACTTGCTGTTGGGATAAGAAATCAATGCTTTGATTCAAATGTTTGAAGAATTTAGTTTTTTTTGTATTCTGTGGAGCCTTGGAACCTCAGGAACAGAACTCACCGACAGAAATACAACACCACAAATAGGTAGTGTTATTTTACTGTGGTCTTCTGTAAGGGAGGAGGAGGGTGGAGGTTACCTCCCTAGAAGGGCGCTCCAATTCGAACAAAACGGGTGAATTTCATCAAATTCGGATTTAAGCAAAACCAATTCTTATAGTAATACAATTTCATAAATTAAATAAACCTTAAAACTAATAAAATATCCTTTCTTCCAAAAAAGTATCTTTATCTTAAAAAAGAATTTATAAAAGATGTATCTTGTATCTAGTATTTCAAATACTTTTTCCAAAGGTATCTTGTATCTGTTATCTTAATACTTGACTACCTACTATCTTGTATTTCATATTTCAGATACAGCTTGACCCAATTGTTTCTTACTAAGTAAAAGCCACTTACCTGAATTCTATATTTTGATCAATGTAAGCATGAAACATTAAGATTAAACTGAACAAATGCCAATAGATCAAATTTTATAAAAATGTTTCCATTGTGTGTCTACTTGCAGCAATTTCGCTAAATCTTAATTTAAGTAAAACTAGATTTAGCCCATACAATAATGTCAAAATTGACATTGTTATTTTTCTATGTTCATATGATGTTTGTTACAGATAATCAAGGAATCTGCAGCCGACATACTGCACAAGTCAACAAAAACATACAGCCTCAACACCTTGTTTCTTTTAACTCGGACATTGGTGTTAATTCTGGCATGGTTCTCCTTAAATTTAACATCACTCTCTCATTTTCATTCTGTTAGAAGAATGATAAGGATACACCGTCAAATAAAAATGTAGGCTAAGAGAATGATGCCAAAATCGACACCAATGGCAGCTCTGTCATGTAATGATATGCAGCCGCCATAATCAACAAAAAAATTATTGAATTGAATTTTTTAATCAGTTTATCTAGTTTTAGTTGAATCGGGATTTAGCATATTCACTGCAAGTGGGCCTTAAATATTAAAAAAAAATATGCCACTATTTTCTTACCAAAGTGCTCTGCAACTATGGAAGAATCAGCGTCCTCACTCCAAGCCAATATAATTTGTAGGGCCTGTAGAAGGGAACATTGAAGCCGAAGGAAGAATGAACCCGAACGGATTGGCTGTCTCTTTCCACAGCCTTCACATAGCCACTGCACTCTGAAGTTTAAAAGAATGAAAATATAAAATTAATTTTCATTCTTTCTCTTTGCATGATGATATATTTTAATAATTTATATACTGATTTCTATCTTTAACAAATGCCTGCTCAATGTGGAATAAATTTTAAAATTCCAAAACCAACCATAAATTGCTCAGAAAAATGTGGAAAAGACTTTGTATATAGAAGGTTAGATAAGGTCACGAAATTGGAGGATACTAACATGAAATGCAAAGAACGAAATTAATGATGAACTGGCTACATGTTAGGCAGCCAAAGGATTTATTACCTAAAACTACCACTACCTTAGTTTGAGGTAAAAACATTAATTAATAGCTACATCAAGTGCCAGTCGCCTATAAATTTTAAAAAGTGAAGGCAAGCAATCTAACCTTGTAATCAAATGGTCACTGATTAAGTAATGGTAAAAAAAAAACTGTTATTAGTCAAGCAAGAAAACAAGATCAAAAATCAACTTGCTTGTTCTTATAACATTTTCTTTTCCATTTCTGTCTTTATTCTCCGCACCTAAACTTCTACTTGACAATAGTGATCCTTGTCATGCTATATACTGAATGAAAAAGAGAGATTGTTGTCGGGTTTGGTTTTGGGTTTGGAGAATTATGTAAAAATAGGGAATATGCATGTAATTCAAATAAGGCAAAGTTATGTATATAAACTCCATTAATTTTGAATTGTCCCTCCGCCAATATTTTTGGACGAAATTTAGTTTTGAGCAAGATATTAATTATTGTATTGGTTGGATGGAACAGCACATTTTTCAACAACTTCAATTATCTTCACAACTGAATTGGGTTATATACTGTACCTCCTGGAGACGTGATACTCCTAACAAATCACTGAATATTAGGGACGATTATTTACTTGCCTATCAATAACTCGAGCTGTTTTGCAAATAAGACGGCATTCTGGATTTCCAGTTGGACATACAACCGTTTGAGGCAAAAGACCAAAAACTTGCAACTTCTCCACTATTTGGCTTTCAAAATGTTTATCGCTAGTTTTACATGTCAAATTCATGTAAAGTTTCAAATTCCTGTAAAAATTAAAGTATTATTATTTTCAATGAAAATCAAGTATGTTTTAATCATTGCGATATTTAATGTTAATTTCTTACCCTGGACTAGTCGAAAAGGGAAAAACGTCTGATAAAAATCCCTTAGAATTTTCGTCGTATGTAGTTGAATCTGCTTCCATTATTAGATTAATTACGTTTTTAAATAGAGAAAATTTGAGTATTATTCTTCAAGAGTTGAAGAAATTATTTTTGTTTTATAAAACATAACAGAAACGCTAAAAATAAAAGGAATATACAAAATTTCCAAAACCACAACACAAGGACTGTGAAATGAAATTGTCAAAAAACGATTAATCAACAAGTAGATATTGTTTACTCGACATCAGTGCTGCCAACCCGAATTTTAGAAAATTAGTAGATTATGTGCCAAATGTTGGTAGAAGTTGGTAGAATGTAAAATGCAAAATTGGTAGATCTACCACCTCAATTTATAAGATTTTTTAAGATTAAAAATGCATGCAATGCAATCCAGAGCACACTTCAGATCACACCTACATGATTTGCAATAAAAATATCCGTCACCCTGATTAATTTCTTGAAGCCAACCTGCAAATTCCTTGTCTTTCTCCCATAATTTCGAATATTTTTGGTCATAGTGCCTATTTCTAGGTTTTCGTGGCGAAGTTCCTAACCTAGAACTATCTGCATCGCTTTCGCTGCTGTCAGAATCCATTATATGAATAAATGCACGCAACATAGAACAAACAGCAATCAGCACCGTTAATACGCAGTTAATTTTTACAATAAAACAGGAGCAAAGATTCAACATTGATTCCGCAACAAACCAAACGGGAATAGGAGGCGTCCATAAATTACGTGAGATGTTTAAGGGGGGGAGGGGGTCGAGTCAAATCTCATCTAATCTTACGTTGGAGAGAGGGGGGGTCGAGTCAAATATCACGCAATTTTTTTTCTGCTTGAAACAAAAAAAATATACTATTTTGGTCCATTTAATCCAGATTTTACATGCTTAAAATTTAATCTTAAGCGTTATCGTAATACGATTAAGATCATTCACTATTTCGTTCGAAAGAAATAACTCTCAGCAATATTGATTACTAGTCTAGCACGAAGCATTTTTTTTTTCTTTTAACAATAACAATCCAATGCATTTAAGTAAGAAACCCACATTTTGAAAAATCTCACGTGAGATTGGGGGATGGGGGAGGGGGTTGAAAAAAATCTCACGACATCTCATCAGGGAGGAGGGAGCGACAGAAAATTCAAAAAAACACCTCACGTAATTTATGGACGCCCCCATAGGCCACAGTAGGAATAGTAAAATATGGGCGCGAAATTGTGCGAATGCCGAACTGATGGCGAACTGTTGCTGACGTTTTTTTTGTGGTTTATGGCCTGGACTCTATGTATGCTTGACGCATCGTTGCATGGCTCACGTAATACATCGCAACGTCGCTCGTCGATATAAAAATAATTCAAAGTGGTGATATGTCAAACTAATTAAAAAATAGGTAGTTTTTAGGTCTAGGGTGGTAGATAGGTAGACTGAAGTGAAAATTGGTAGATCTACCAAAAAGTTGGTAGATATGGCAGCACTGCTCGACATACCGATTCATAAATTCAAGTAACCAAAATTGAAATTCGTATCAAAAACGATTATAGAATCGATATATTTTTTAAACTCTACTGATGTCAGTGCGTTGCGTCAAGTGTGTATGCTCGCGGCCATTTGGTATTTTTGATAGTTCTGTGGTTTTTTTTTGTTTTCTCCCAGGCGGGGCAGCGGGTGATAAATGCTCATGAATACCCTACAGCCGTTATGTCAGACTCGTACTGACTAAAAAGCACCCGTAGGGGCTGCCTCTGGCCGGGAAGGCCTCTAAGGCTTCATCGGAAGCGATCGTCCCCCAGCGACGACGCAGCGCTGCTTTAGTTAGATACTAGAGCATATGCGCGAGAAGGACGGTACGGCCTCCTAGTGAGGCACGCCCGTATCGGAAAGAAGAGCTGCAGAGGGCCACTCGTGCGTAGGGCAGGCAATGCCGGAAGGGCCTTGCTGTAAGGGGCCTAACGAGTTCGATCGCCGTTTATGCTAACTAAAGGGGAAGCTTGTTAGAGAGCTAACGCGTGTGTGGATGCTGGCCCGCGCCGATCAACACTAAGTTTAATCGACGCGTTAGAGACTCGTGAGGCCCGCGCCGGCAGAGAATCGGTTCCGAAACCGGCGCGAGTCTCACTTGCCACAGGCCAACGTAAGCGAAGCCTAATCGGTGGGGTTAAACTGCAACATGGTTGGTGATTCAACACTGTTAGCGTTTGCCCCACCGAAATCTCGCCGCACGGGCGGTGAGAGAAGCAAGTTCATAGTATAGCCTATGCTTAGTCTAAATTGAAAAAGCGGTGTCGCAATTGCCGTAGCCGCGTAGAGGACGCAAGCACTAATGGGCCTACCACACGCACGAGCTTCACCACAGTTTTGCCTGCGCAGGCCGGTTTGTACACGGAACACGGTAGTTGGTAAAACTGTATCACGCGCCAACCCCACAGCGCGGCCTGCGCAATTTTCGACTTGCTTGAAATTTTGCCTGCGCAAGCCAGGCCTGCGCGTACTTGTCTGTGCGTGTGGTTAGGCGTTCAGTGTTCAAGCCACAGTCGAGTGTACTTTGTGTCGAGGCTCGCTCGTCGTTTCATGAGGTCGTTCGTCATCGTCACACAAAAATGGTAGATTTGCGTACGTACAATCGCGAATTCACGTCTGAATTAATTAGTTAATACAAATCTCTGCCTGCACTCTGGAAAATTAAATCTAAAGATTATTCCGTCCGAAATAAAAAGAACGACGACTACGAAAGAATGATAAATAAAATGAAAGAGGTAAAAACATAATTTTTGCAACTAAATACATATGCCTAATACCTACCTACTTGCACATATTATGTACATATCCTATCGTTTTTACATGTTTTTTTTAATAGCAAACACTTAAAACATAGTAGCATAAGAAATGTTTCTTCATTAGAAAACATTGTTTCCACGCCAATGATTTCGATAAGAATGAGGCTTGCGCGTTCTTAACTGTGCCGTGTGGTAACGCACAAAGTGTACAGTTTTTTCATGCGAGATGCTTGCGCAGGCCAAACTGTGGTGAAGCTTGTGTGTGTGGTAAGCACATAAGTGTGCCTGCGTTCGCCCCGCGTCACAGCGTTGAAATGCTCGCACGCGTCCACTGGGCGCTGTTGCGAGTTGTTAGGCGCCTATCGGCGGCTAACGAGATGGACTCTTGGAGAGTGTCAATAATGATAGTTCTGTGCACGGAACTTATATTATGTACTAACTGGAATGCTTACGAAACAATATGGGAATATATAAAATGTACTCTAGCTAGTTATGTATAAAGTCCATTTTTGTTTCTATCTTCATAAGGGGGAAAAATACTCCTAGCGTGACACGACGAAAGTGGAATATGTCCCTCTCTTGCAACTGTTTGGGCACACTACTAGAACAAGGCAGATTCCACCGATTCAGCTATGCTCTTGGAACGATTTTGAGGGTCGCGTAAGCATTCCATGTGTGTTATGGTGTGACGTTGTTATTACTGAGCTAGGCTAACCTAAATACATTTTTTAACTGCAAAGGACATTGGGAACTTTACTAAAAAAATTCCTCTCAACGGACGAGATGAATTCTATCTTAATTTAAAACTTTTAAACTCTAATTATGTTGACCTTGAGCGCATTTTTGTGACCCTTGGGAATATTGAGATATAACGAGAATTATATCTTAGTCCAGCCTCCGTTTGTGTGAAGGAATTCTTGAGATAGCGTATGTTTTCTGCTGCGCCGCAACACAGACCACAAACAACGCAATGGTGACGAAGCTGTCTAAACCTAAACTTAAATTGGGCAACCGTGTTTCTTCATCATTCTCTATACAGAATGAAAATGAGAGACTTGGAGGTTTACTCTGTTTCAACGATAAACGAAATTTCGCACGTTCCTTACTCTGTTTCTTTTTCATTTCGAAAATTCATTCGTCCGAAAATAGTTTGTCAAATAAATTCTCCAAGCCTACTCTAATTCACAAAACTTTCGAACAAAAAGCTGAATTTGACAGATAATTGGCATAAGTCTATTAGTTTTCTTTGGTTTTCTAGTGTCATAATATGGTGTTGTATACATAACTCATTAATATTATGTCTGTCGATATGATAGTCATAACCGATAATATAAATGGTTAAAAAAATTGTATACTTTCCATACTTATAAATTTTGTATTGGGGAGACCTTATCGGATCGTACTCTAAGATACTGCGATCGTAAACGTAATATAAAATTTTGAGAGTTTTAATGTGGTTTAATGGTTTGCATGTGTGGATAACGAAGCCCTACTTTTTATAGGCTTTATCTACGATTTTGTCAATGTGGTCTTTGTGCAGCATCTTACAGTCGAAATATTATACCCCTAATTATCTTACATCAGTAGTCCTAAGGATCTAAATTCCATGAAAATTATAAATTTAGGTTACTAGAAAACTAATACATTCACACTTGTCTGTTTTAACTGATATGTTATTTTTGTTACAATAAATAAGTAAATTATGAAGATCGGCTATGGGTCTGCTTCTAAGTTTTTGCTATCGCCTACAGAGTTGTTTTTATATTTAACTTCCTCACCTAATAATTCTGAGGTTAATAATTTTGTGCCAATTGGTATGCGTCACGAATAACCCATGTCATAGAAAAAAATATAAAGTGATCAACTAGAAAACGTAAAAAAATATATATCCAATGTCCATGCATACCATGTTATTCGTCATTAGTTTTCAACGACATACAACAACTGTATATTAACAACACTAACTCATTCAAATAGAATATTCAGATTTTATTTTATTGACGGATCCGAAAGTAATAGCATATTGTGGGTGAGATGAAATATCGATCACTGAAATGATCCAGTTTAATTTAATAAATAATTTTTTGGTCGGAGAATCAGGTGGTCGAGTAATCGATTTGGAGATCGCCTTTTCTATGTGAAATCTCTGTAATCTGTGGTGCTGCCTGTGTCAGTGCTGCCAGATCGTCCCACTTTTCAGCTTTTTCTCCCGCCTTTTTGACAATGAATCTGCATTCCGCTTTTACCAAACGCGGTTCCGCTTTTTTCGAATCAACAAGATCAACCTCTAATTTCCACGATTAATATTACACAATTTTCGTCCCTTTTGTCATCAAAACGTCCCTTCGGTGTCATATTACATATTCCGTCATTTTTCCGTCCGTTTTAGATAACGTTCCACTGCAACATTAGACGAATTC